TTTCTAGGGACTGGTCCATCCTGATAACACTGTAAGAAGCTATAAGAAAGGAAGTCTGGTCATCCTCCCTTCTAAGGAACATTCTGGCTATACTTCTAAGATAATTTGTTCATTCTTCTGGCAGGCTATGATATAGTCAACATTCTTCGCCAACACCATGATTGAAATGCATCGATTCTTCAGTCCAGCTTTTACATACATATGAGAAAATTGAAAATACTGTGGTTTGGATCAGTTACATCTTAGTCCTCAACGTAACATCTTTGCTTTTGAACATTTAAAGAGATCTTATGCAGCAGATTTGCCCAGTGCAGTACACTGTTTCATTTCTTGACTACTGCTCCCATGGGTATTGATTGTGGATCCAAGGAAAATGAAATCCCTGACAATTACACTGTCTCTGTTCCTCCCAGTATTGCTTATTGGGCCGGTTGTGAGGATCTTCGTTTCCTTTAAGTTGAGGTGTAATCCATACTGAAGGTGTAGTCTTTGATCTTCACTAATAAGTGATTCAAGTCATTCTCATTTTCAGCATGCAAGGTTGTGGCATCTGCATATAGCATATTGTTAATGAATCTTACTCCAATCCTGATGCTGTATTCTTCTTCATATACTCCCCCTTCTCAGATTATTTGCTTAGGGTACAGATTGAATAAATATGGTGGAAGGACACAACCCTGACTCACACCTTTCCTTTCATTACATTAGACATAAAATATATTTTATAAAAGCACTTGGCCCTAAGGAAAGAGAAACACATGCATTACATTTGCATTTATGGTTATAATAAATCATTAAAAAAAAAAAAAAAAAAACTCTACCTGTTCTTCTTCTAGGAGAATCAGCCCCACAACTGCAATGTTGATGTTTCCTCCTATTGTTCCATCTTTGAATAAAGCAGACACCTAAAAAAGCAGGGACATCCATGTCAGTTCCCATAAATGGCAGTTTTTTCACAGCCTGTCAGTACACTGGGGTCCTGCTGGGGAAAGCCCATGTCTGTCTTCTTGGGTGCCAGTGATATAACCACATTAACATCAAAACATTAACACTACTTGACAGATAGATATAGTAATTTCTAACTATTTATTGTTGAATTTTTACCGTTTGTGCATGAAGGTAAAAATTGGACTTTTCTTGGGTGAGGACACCTTTTACCATCAAACACCAGTGAAAGGAGAAGGAGGCCTTCAGCCTGGACAGTGTCCATGCTAGGAGGGACCATTTTTACACCTGATGGTGACTATCTAAGTAGGGCTGTCCTCTAGTTCCTGACAAGTGATTCCGGAAGCATAGGAGAAATGTTTGGGGAAAGACCAGCAGGATAAGAGAAGAGAAGGAAAAAGGTACAAAGAAGACAGCAAAGAGATGCAGATCACAGACAGGAAGATGATGATTAGAAGGAATGGACAAAGACAGACCAACAGCAGGGGCCACGTCCAGGAGTCCATTTGGTGCCTCCAAAACCAGGTAACCAAACTCACTGCCATTGAGTCAATTCCAACTCATAGCAAACCCCACTGGGTTTCCAAGGCTGTACACCTTTACAGAAGTAGACTGCCCCATCTTGCTCCTGCAGAGAAGCTGGTGGGCTTGAACAGGTAACCTTTTGGTTACCAGCAAAATGCCTTACCCAGTATGCCACCAGAGCTCCTTGTCAGGTCCCTGTTGTTGTTGTTGTTGTTATTTGCCTTTGAGTCAGACC